TTAGCACTTTTCAATTTCAGTTGCTGTTTGGAGATTATCACGGATTCCCTTGTTTTTATACATACAGATTTCACATTTTATATTTGCAGCAGGATTGAGTTCTCTAAGTATGTTTATGACATTTTAAACCCCAGCATTTACATTACTATTTTAATTACTATTTTCACACTTCAAAGAACCACTCTTGAGCCACTGTTCTATTTTTGCAAAATGGGGGTATAATTTAAGACTAGCAACAACCAAAAATATGCTAGTTTAACAAATAAACAGTAAGCAAATGACAGAAAGAGTATATTAACCAAGATGAAGTGCACTATTTGTGAAATGTAAGTCATATTGACCAGTGCAGGCTTCATAGCACAAACACAACTTTTTAATATTATGAGTTTTAAGAACACAATGGGATTTCTGCTGACATTGTAATTACTCTTCATATTGTAATATCAAGGTCCTACATGCTCCGCCACTTCTATAACACCTTTCTGATCTCATTTCCAACTCCACCCAGTCACCCCACCCCATCATGCTGATCTTCTTGCTAATCTTTGAACACATCCTTTAGGCTTTCACACTGGCTGTTCCTTGCACCTGGAAAACTCCGTATGAGTAACTTCTCTCGCCTCCTTCAAAGTCTTGGCTTAAAGTTAGGATCTCTTTCCCCAGGAAGGCTACTCAAACACATTTATCCTGTTCTACTTTCCCTTTCTTCCAAAAGCATGTACTTCCTTCTAGCATGCTATTTAAGCTACTTATTCATTTTTTTAATTATCTGTCTCCCATCCCACCCTTCCGCCCCAAGAGAATGAGAACTTCACAAGGGCAGGGATCCCTTGTTTTATTCATTGGTATATCCTCAGCAACTAGATCAGACACTGACTTATGAAAGGTGCCCAATAAATAGTAGTTGAGTCAATGAACCAGTGAATAAAATGTTTTCGTTGCCTTTCCTTTCTAACCACCAAACTATCTGCAGATCTTTGAGAACTAAACAGAAAGTGACAACCAACACAGATTTTTAAACAAGAATTATACTAACAGATTGGTATTCAAACTACACAAGGTCAGGAGATGATTTAAAGTTTAGACAGGCTGGATGCAGAGAGTTTAGTTCAAAAGTCAATCCATAGAAGAGATTATGAAGGCCACAATTTTCCAAATAACTAGGCCTTCTTGAATGGTTTATTTCAACCTTACAGTACACACGTCTATAGACATATGATCAATGTTTGTGTAAACAATACACACATACATGTACATGCATGCACATGCATAAAAATTTATGTTGAACATGGGATGTTCACCCATGGGTGAACTCAGTCGGGGTGGCTCAGTCGGTTAGGCGACTGACTTCAGCTCAGGTCATGATCTCATGGTTTGTGGGTTCAAGCCCCACATCAGGCTCTGTACTGGCAGCTCAAAGCCTGGAGCCTGCTTCGGATTCTGCCTCCCTCTCTCTCTGCCCCTCTGCCGCTTGCACTCGGTTTCTCTCTCTCAAATATAAATAAACATTTTAAAAAAATGTTTTAACTGTTCCCTCTGTTTAAAAAAAAATTATGTTGAACAAATCTAGAAGAAGCTAAAGACATTTTTCCATCTTATGGGTATTCTTCATAAAAAGATAATGGCTTGGGTCATAGTTAAGATGACCATACATCATCGTCTTCCTGGGACAGTCCCAGGTTATGCTTGTTGACCCAGTGCCTCTTCCAGTTATTGCTACTTTTTACTCTCAAAAGTGTCCTTGTCTGGACAAAAGAATTACATAGTCATCCAAGTTATAAAGGAGATAAATAAACCCCTTCCTATGCTGACCTCAATTTTGAAGATTTTATTGGAGTGCGTATGGAAAAGGTGACAGCCATAATTAATTCTAACACATACTGGCCAGCACTGCAAGTGAACTATTTCAAACAGGCAATTCTTCGGCGAGGTAGATAGCAACAGTTGCAGAGGTAGATGCCACAAGCTTCAAATATCTAGGTTTGGAACCCAAATCCTTACCAGGTCACCTGCACAATCTCAAACCCCTATGAGAACTTTCATGGGCTGAGCAGGCTCACCACATTCTTCTCTGCAAGCCCTGTTGGCCCTAGGTAAACGGGGAAATGTTAGCTCTTCACATTCTTGAAAGACAATAATAACATAGGCTTAGAGCCATAGCAGACACTTAGCAACTTAAGGATAAAACTATTTCTTTCCTGTATGTGTAAATAAATACATAATCAATTACCTCATTCTTCTATCTTCCTTGATATTGTTTTCTGTGTGCATTTTTTGTTTTTTTGTTTTGTTTTGTTTTGCTTGTCTTGCTTATCTTTGCATATAATGAATAAAAGAAAAATCTGTGGTCCGGAGAGGGTGGTAAAGAAAAGTCAAGATTCCTTAACATCTAGGATGACCAAAAAATTTATCATCCCAACCAGGGCACTTTTAAACGTGCATAGGGGTGCTTTTGATAACTAAGATAGGTCAACAGGAATAAGCTAGGACTGTTGCAGACAAACTAGGAGGTCTGGTCACTCTTCTAATTCCCCATTCATATTCCCATACAAAAGACATCCTGTGTATAAAGAAGCAACCTCTGTCTCTGTTAGGTCAACCAAACTTCAAATATAGTCCTCTCTCTTTCAGGTCACGCCTGGCTTTCAACAATGGAAAAGGAAAGGTTTTCACTCCATGCTCTCTCTCCCTATTAAACGCACCATGCAAAACTGGTTCCATTTTTACCCAAGGAAAAAAGCAACACACTAAAATGTGGATCCAGGCCAGGCTCATAGCAAGCCTCAAGCCTGGAGCCTCGGGTTTCTCTTAAAGCAACACTTCACGAGACAGCAACCTAGTAAGAGGGTACACAGATACCAGCCAGTGATTTAAAAAGTATTTCGAGTGTTAGATCCTTTCACTGACGCTAGGGCACCCGTTGAAACTGGACAGAGCCGAAAAGCCACCTCTCCCGCAAAATACATTCATCCACAGAAAACGTTATAGCATTTGTCCTCAATGGTTTATTCATTGGTAAATGAATAAACTTAGGTAACAACCTAAGTTTCTTTGCCTTTTGCTGAGATCAAGGGTGAAAAAGTCTTTGAAAAGAATAAGAAACCATGTTTTTCTCTCAAGATCACATTGCCCAAGAAAAACAGAGCCAATGCTTACTTTTATTCCATATTTCCTGTTCAGAGGGGTCAAACATTGCTCATGTTCTTCATTAAATCTAGTCCTGTCATTGATGAATATTAATTTGCTGGGATATTTTCCCTCACAATCGGAGAGGGAAGACCAGATTTATAATCTACAGCACATAAAGAGCTATAATACTGGATGGAGCAGAAAAGCTCCAGCTGGCTTATCTCAAATATTCGGAATGACTGATTCTTCACAGACTCCATGGTCATTCATAAAGATTCACTGCCAAAGTCTGCCCAAAGTTGTGATAGAGGCGATGGTAAAGCAAATGTCTTGGGCTAAGTAATTACAGAAGGTAAGTACTATCCATAGCTGAGGCTCTGGGGGCAAGGGCTGTAAGACTGGGAACCACCTGCCATAGAGATGGTGGATGAATTCATGCAGATTGGACTACCATCCTTCCAGCGACGAGACTGTATGCGAGCAAGGGGCCCTTTGTTGAAATGAACAAGAGCTAAGAAAGTTATGACTGTTTTCTCCCCAAAGGTGGTATGGTAATCTTAAATGCAAAGACATCTTTGCTAATATAACTGTTTAAACTGCTTCACATAACCACAAATGAGACCAAAATGTGCCAAACAAATAATCAAAACAAACAACTTAATGATGACTTTTTAAATGCTCAAAGAAAGAAGAAATTAACTGGTTAGGAGATCAAATGGTAAGGTTATAAAGTCTCCTTTGGGAGATCAAAATTACATCTTCCCCACCCTCCACAGCACCCTACCCCTCCTCCCAACCGTGAAGTGGATAGTTTCTGAAAAATACAATGACCCTTTATGCCGGGCTTCTCTTGTCTGCTAAGGATGCCATCTGTCTCCCACACTATATAAACAATCCCTGCAGGAATCTTCTGATGACCAAACAGATTAGCAAGCTCCAGATTTTCACACCATTAATAATATCCCCATCCAGATTAGGCCTCTTGCTTTAATAATGCCAAAGATAAGCCATATAACTGATTTCTCTGGATAGGTAATGTGAGTGTCATGTTAAAGATAACCTCTCAGAGGGTACAGCCATCTGTTGGGAGGAGGGGGGTGGAGAAAGCTCTCTCTAGGCAACCAAGAAATGAGCCCTTGAGGGAAAAGGAGAAACAGTAAAATGAAAATCATACTGGTAAGACAAACGAATACATGAAATTTCACCAGGTCTAATGGAAGACTCTACTAATTGCATAAAAATCTTTTTCTTCTAAAAGACAAAGTACAGAAAACTGCGCAAGAAAAGACAAGTTGCACCCTTTGACAAAGGTGTACGTACAGCGAGAATTCAGAGTTTCCTTGACTCTGGGGCAGTGAGAGCAGAAACATACCAGGAAGGCTAAAGCCTCCCAGGAAGTTTGCCTACCGTCCACCTCTATCTATGATGATCGCCGATGCTTGCCTTCTCGAACTTTAACATCGATCCCCTGTAACTCTGTGAGCTCTCAGTATTGTCTCCAAAGACTTCCAACTCTTAGAGAAATAAGCATGCCTGTAAAGATGTTCCTAAAGTTGGTAATCATAAAGGAAAAACACTTGAGCACTGCAAAGGGAGGAAAAGACAGGCATGGAAGAGCCAGACCTCTGCAGTTGCACGTCCTCGGAAACGACTACGTCTAAATCTGCAGCCCCAGTTTTCTCCAGGCCCCAAGCTCCAGCAGAGGATGTCCACAAAACATTCCCAACCGAAAAGAAATGAAGCCCCCTCTCCCTCAAATGATGCCCAAACGGACCCAAAAGTCTCAGCTCCCTCGGATAATCAAAGCAGAAAACACGTCCCGGTGTCTCTCACCCGCATTTCAAGGTAGCGGAAGCCAAAATGTCAAATGAATGACCGCGCCGGAGCGCGAGGGAGGAAAACAAAGGCACCTCCCGCTAGCCGGTACCTGCGGCGCCAGGGCCCGGCGCCGGCCGCACACTCACCTGGGGCTCGGCGCCGCCGAGGGCTGCGGGTGGGAACGGGGCCGCGGGGCGGGAGGGCGCCCCCGCAGTCGACC